GCCAACAAGATGGTATGGGACGCTCCCACGAGTTGCCACAGACCCTCCTGGGGCGGCGCACCCAACGAACATGTTGGACTCTAGTCTCTACTTTGTTTCCAGCTCGACGCCAACTCCATTCCATATCGATTCAAGCTCGACTCCAGTTCGGTTCATGTTCGACTCAGGTTCGACGCGAGTCGGTGGACGTTCGTCGCAGCATCCGCGCATGAGCGGGGCGAGTGGCTCCAGGAAGGCCCCCATAACGAACGCTCAATACGTTTCGACCTCCTCGTCATCCGTCGACGTCGCCCGTTGGGGGGCGGGGCGGGGCCACAGGCGCCGCATGCCCGCCGTGTGGACGGCGGCAGCTGGGCGAGGCAGACGACCCGCCTGACGGCGCCCAGGGGCTTCGTCGCCGCCCCCGCCATGATCGTCGTCGTGGTCGAAAGCTCCAGGCCGACCGAGTGGGGGCCAGAGCGGCCGTTAGGTCGTGCCCAAACCTCGCCAGGAAACCCCGACGCAAGCCTTTGGTCGTCGTCGTCGTCGTCGTCTGCATCGTCGGTGGCGTTGGACATCTTCGGGGGGCCCTCGTCGGCACGGCCAGACTTGGCTCTGGACACTCTCGGGGGGGCAGGGCCGACCCTCGGTTGGTTCCCTCTGGGGAGACCTGGGCCGCGCTCGCCCCCGCAGGCCTCGGCTGTTAGGTCGTGCCCCGGTTTCGCTGGAAAACCCCGACGAAAGCTCCTGGTCGTCGTCGCCGTCGTCGTCGGTGTTGTTGGATACTTTCGGTGGGCCGCGCTTGCCTGGGGCACGGCGCCCTGGTCTGGTTTCCTCCAGGGAGACCTTGGCCTCGCTGCTCCATGAGGCTGTACAACACCAGGAATAACACATGTAACTTGTTGTACGCCTGGCACCGTGCCTGGCACATGTAATTACATGAATCCTGGTAAGTACAAGGCAGTCCAATCCATTCTTCGGACCCCGTTCCCCGTTTTATCTCCTTAGGCTATTCAATGGCCTTCGGCTCATCCCGCCACGATGCCTCGGTTGTGAGTATGAAGCTCATTGGATGTGCGTTGGGATCTCGTGGGAGGCCTTTCGGGGGCCGCGTGGAGGCAGCTTGGAGGCCTCTTTGGAACTATTTTGGAGCTTCTTGGGGGCCTCTTGGGGCGTTTTTGGGGCCTCCTGAGAGCCTCGCGTGGCCTCCTGGGAGCCTCGTGGGGCCTCCTGGGGGACCCTTGGGGCGGAACGCTCGGATTTTCAGTTCGCGTTCCCTGTCTTGGGCCCCTTTGGGGGCTTGGGGCCCTCTTGGGCCGTCTGGGGCCGTCTGGGGGCGCTCTTGGGGCCCTCTTGGAGGCCTCTTTGGCTGTTTTGAAATGGTCTTGGGCGCCTCTTGGGCCGTTTTGGGGGCCTTTTGGAGGCCTCTGTGGCAGTTATGCCGCTTGGGGCCCTCTTGGCCCGTCTTGGGGCCCGCCTGGCCCTGGAAAAGTCATGCAACAACACTTCCCGGACTCCAGAGGGCACGCCGGGAGCCCTACTAAATTTTAGATTTTTGGGTGGGGGCCCCTTGAAGAAGACTTTTCGAGACTGACGACTGAGGCTTCAGAGTTCAGGCAGAGGACCTGAGGACACGCCCATTTCGTGCCCAGAAGCACGGTGGTGGGTATTGGGAACGTGGGAGGTCTGGCCGCTTTCAAGGCATTCCAGGATGCGGGCATTAGTGCTTCACCTAGCGGTGCCCTCCCCTAGCGGCACTCCGCCAGGGAGTGCAGGGATGGTAAGGCCTACGCGTCGTCGATGCCGCCCGCTGGGACGAAGGGGGGTGCCCGTGGGCGCGGGGGACAGGGAATGAGGAGAGCCGGGAAGGAGAAGGGAGACCAGGGACCGTGGTCATTGTCGCCTTGCTCGCCATGGGCAGATCTGACGTCGCAAACAATTTCAGCAACGACTGGAACCACGACTGGAACCCTAGACCCCATCTTTCTGCGTCATTTCTAAAGTCAGATCGATATGTGAGGGTCCCAGGGCCCGAAACGAGGTAATCCCCCGTTGCGAAACAATTGCAGCGCCAGGATCCGAGGGTCCGTCGTCGTAGTCGGGTCGACCACAGCGACGACCGCGACGACGACGGCGACGTCTCCGCTGGCGTGGAGCGGAGGTGCCAGCGGCAGCCGGTGCGAGCCCGGCGGCCCGTGGTGCTCGGTCTGCCGGTTCCTGCGGCGGCGCGCCTCGACACCGGAAGGGGGGGGAGGGCGGCGCTTGGGCGCGCAGAGGACAGCGCCGACGACCACGACCACGACGACCACGACAGGCGGGGCGCAGACGCTGCCAGCGTGCCAACTCCTCCCCCTCATCTGGCCAGTGCACGCTCTGTGCGGGATAGTGTCGAGTCGGGCCTGTCCCTCTACAGGAGGGAGATTCAAAAATAGTCAAAAGATAGTACGGGCACGATGTTTTGACAATTGTTTGACCTTTTTGAATATGTGTGGGGTATTTGTATTATATTCTTCCTCCAAAATCCGCCTGTAGGGGGACAGGCCCGACCTAAGGATAGTGCCGCTCGCCGCTTGGCGCACGTATCTGTCGTAGGCGGCTGGCCACCCCCTCAGGGTCATAAGTGGCATCACGAGGCTTCGCGTCGACTTCGGTGCCACGGGGGGCACCGCGAGATTTGGAGGTCTGCGCGGGTTTCTTGGATCGGCGCTGCACCTACATGGCGGCGCCTCCAGTGCCGCCCTTGGCGCGCTCCGCGGGCCAGGGAGAAGGGCTCTTGCGCCGATCCGAGACATCCGCGCGGAACACCAACTCATTATGTTTATCCCGGCTCTCTCATGCAGATGTTTGGCTCCCGGCGCCCTCCACGCTCCCCGTGTCTTGGGCATCGCGTAATGGGGGTGCGATACATTTGGGGGGGCAGCGAGGGCTGCAGAAAAGGGACCCTTTAGGGCCCCTGATGGGGCCCTTTCGGGCCCAAGTGGGGGCCTGCAGGGCCCGAGAAGTGAACCTTTCTCCCCCTCCCCCATGAATCGTCCCCCCAGTAAGCGACGCGGAAGTGACCGTCAACAAAACATCAATCAGGATGAATACAATTGGCCCGTGGGACAAGCCCTGGGATACACGACCCGTTTGGTTCAGGACCTGTCGTTCGCTCCGATGTTCCGCAGACCGTGTTAGGTTCATGTTGGGCATGCAGCAAACTCGCGCACTACGGCAGCTCGTCACGTCAGTGGAGATAATGCTGTGAACTGTGGGGGTAAGTCGTCGCACATGGGGGAAGGGAGATGGGCGATGGATGGAAGGGCAATGAGAGCTGTGACAAAGCGCACTGGCGACCTCTTGGGCCATCTTTGTTCTTGGGGTACCCTTGGGCCGTTTTGACGCCCTCTTGGGCTATGTTCTGCCACTGAGGCCAACTTCGGGCCTTTGGAATATTGTCCGCGACCATCTTGGTCTGAAGAGACATGATGCAAACGCAGCAGCATATACTTGAGGCTCCTTACAGTCAGGGGCCTCTTGCGGCACCTCCTGAGGTTCCTGGAATCATCTTCGAGGCTATTTGGGATAGTTTGGAGGCCTTTGGGGTTGTCTTGGAAGCAATGATGATTGGGCATCGGGGTGGATCTGGAAAGCGCCAGGGAGTCGTCGGGGCGAAGAGGAGACTTGGTTGCGAATGAGGGGGGGAAGCGCACGGCGAGGGGGCCCTGAAGAAAAAAGCAGAACCCTCACCAGACAGCACTTGTCATTGCACCACTTCGCTACGAGCCTCTTCCTTTCATGTCCGCGTCTGTTCGTTTTTGTCTCCTTATTGTCCTCCTGCTCCGCGGGCAAGGCGCAACGATCCCGAGGGGCCCCGTGGCACAGCAGATACCGCCGGCTGCCTCCTCCTCCTCCTCCTCCTCCTCCTCCTCCTCCTCCTCCTCCTCTCTCCTCCTTCCTCCTTTCTCCTCCTTCCACCTCGTGTCCTTCTGCGTGGTCCAGCGAACTCCCAGCAGCACCGGACGTCGTTTCTCTGACGTCCGAGATGCCCCAGGGGCTGAAGCTGCCGCGGGCTGCCCCCCAATCCGTTCGTCTCGTGCCTTGGCCTGGGTCAGGTCCCCCAGCAGCAGGTCAGGAGGCGAGATTGTGGTTTGGGGTTGTTCTATTGGTCCCAGTCCCCGGAGATCCTTCGTTACCTGTGGACGTCATCTGACTGCCCTGGGCCCTGGGGGGCCGAGAGCATTGACAAGTTTCCGGGACGCGCTTCAATCATGCCGATAGAGCGGCACGTCGGACGTCAGATGCAGGCGCAAGGCTCAGACCGTCCAGGGGTGAACCCGGAAGCGATGTCGGCAGGCGCCGTCGAGCGCCAAGCAGACGACGATTTGTTTGTTACCGTCGCGGGAGGAGGTCTCACAGGATCGGATGCTTGAGGACCACAAGCCGCAGGTGGTTGTGATGACGGTGGCCGTGGGGGCCGAGCCCACCCCGCGTTGAGGAGCGGCCCTCATCCAGAGCACCGCCGTCGAGCTCACGGACCTCCGCTCGGGCACGGCTGCCGCGGGGCCTTTGGGCTGCCTAGCAGGGGAGCTCGTGTGCGTGGGGTCGGCACCGGCTTCGACAATTAGGAGGCCTGACATGCGAACCTTACCCCACCACCCCACGATTTCTATGGGGGGGGTGGGGTTCACGGAACGAACCCCACCTTCACCCCCCCAGAAATCGTGGGGTGGTGGGGTAGGGTACGCATGTGGCCTCCTAACAGCGTGATCTCGCGCGTCCGGCTCTGGAGTTTGGCGGCGCGCACGAGAGAGGCGGCGCGAGTGGGCGTGTTGCTGCTGGGGAGGCGGGGTCTTCTTCGAAGATAGGGGCCTCCTTGCAAGAGCCTGGGGTTCTAAAGGAGGCTCCTTAGAAGCCTCCAGGCTCTTCCAAGAAGCAGCCTGGCTTCTTAGAGGCCCCCTCGCCCTCTCAGAAGGCCGTCCCCCTCGCCGCGCTGCCTTTGTGCGCACCGCCGACTTTGGCGGGAGAGTTCGCGAGCGTGGATGTTGGCATCGGCCTCGACGGCGTGGTTTCGCGCCTCCGGCCTTGGAGCGGGGGACAGTATTGGGGGTGACGCATCAGGATGCCATCCCTCTGGGCCTCTGGGCACACATCTTGAGGCTCACATCCGCGACTGGAAGGATTTCATGAACGGCGATACCAGACCCGGGGTTGGAGGACGTTCGAGCTGCCCTCATCAGTTTGTCTCGGCGGCCAGCTTCTCAGAAGACAACGCGGCGCCGTGGGTCGACACAGCGGAGTTCGCGGAGGTGGTCCGCGCCGTCAACTCGTCGGAGTTGTGCAGGGCGACGAGGGGCTCGAGCAGCGCCACAGCCAAGGACGCTGGGACGGGAAATGGCGGCGCGGTTTCACGGGGCCACCTTTTCTTTGAGTCCCGCCATCCTCCTCTTCCGCCCACTTCTCTCCCGTTCCCTCGCGTTCCCCTTTCCGGCCCTCCCATCATCCCCTCCATCCTAGAGGTTCTCTTCCGGCCGCGGGAGGGGGATGCCGATGTGGACATATGAGCCCTGTGAGCGCCAACCTCTCGGCTGCTCCCAGGCTGTTCGCATGCAGGTCGCAGCGGGCGTCTGCGGAAGCGGCCGTCCACGGGCGAGGGCCCGCCGTGGACACCGCCCGGATCGCTGTCGGCCCGTGCGGCGGGCAGGTCGCTGGTCGACGGCACGGTCGCAGGCGGGCTTGCGGGCGCGCGCACGCGTCTCGCCTGGCTCAGAGGAGGCCGGCGGGGTCGCGGGCGGGTGGTCTCTGGGCGGGCGCACAGGAGGCCAGCGGGTCTCGGGGTGACGGATGGAGCCTTCCTTGAGGCCTTGAGTCACGCACTGGGGCGCAGGTGCCGGACCGCTCGGCCGCATCTCACTGACCAGTTCGAGTCCGTCCTTGGGTGCGTTGTCTAAACGGCTTCGCTTGTCGGGGTGCTCGCTCACGTGGCTTATTCCGCCGACCTCCAGCGGTGTAGAGATGTCCGGGTTTTGGTAGGCTATGTTGGAGCTCGAGTGGCTGGGTGTTTTTTTGGAGCTGGAGTGGCTGTGTTTTTAGGGCTCTACTTTCAGTGGTCTCTGAGAAGGCATGTGGGAATATCCGGTTGGATTATGAGGGGCCTTTTCAGGAGCGCCTCTTGGGGGCCTCTTGGAGGCCCCACTGGAGGCCTCTGGGCGGATTTTGTGAGGGTGGCTCTTCTGCCCTCTGGGGCAGGGTCAACGAGTGGATGGCCGCCCCAGGAGTGCAGCGAGGCCGCGGAGGTCCTGCTGAAGGCTCGCAGGAAGAGCAGAGGGGCAGTGAGGAGGAGCAGAGGGGCAGTGGGGAGGGGAGGCGGCTTCTTAGAAACACCCCTGCTTTTTAGTAGGGGCGGACCTTGTCTGTAGATGCAAGGCCCGCGCCTTCTAAAAAGCAGCCTCCTTCGAACAAGCCTTCCCCCCTCCCCCACACCCCCCTCTGCGCGCCGCCAGAGGAGCAGAGGGAGCAGGGGTGTGCGGGAGTTGGAGCCCGCTGAGGGTCCGAGGTGGCCCAGCACCGGTTTTGGCCAGCGGGAGGGGCGTAGGTTCGTTCGGGGCGCTGAATGTGACCAGGTGTTTTGTTTTGGTTCGGATCCCGGAGCCGGGCATGAAAATGGAATCGTTTGTGGACCTTGGGAGGCTCCTGACCGATTTCCCGGGTTCAGTTCAGACTCCCCGGCCGCCTCCAAGGCAAAGGCATATAGCCTTCGAGTTGGGCACGCCAGGAGTTTCGATGTTTATGGATCGTGCACCAACTATCGCCTTGGTCATACGTCATACGCACATTTTCCCTTGTCGCCCAAGCCCTGTCTTCGTCCAATGGGTCGCGTCTGCTACACATTGCGCTGCTTCACGCGCTGCCTGCCATGGAGGAAAGGATCAGGGCGGGCGGGACTAGCACGAGGATAAATCTGTTCCAGAGCGTTCCGGAACGCTCTCAGAGCGTTCCGGAACGCTCTGAGAAGGCCGAGACATCCTCCAGAGCCGCGGGATCTCAGAGGTTCTCGATTCATGCTCGCCCGACTTTATGAACGTCCCGTCTCATCAGGGGAAGACGGCTCTTCCTCCCGAGCTGCGTTCTGAGGCGCTTGGGGCCCGAGGTGGGCTCGCCTAGGGCCCGAGGTCTGCCAAAACTCGTTGGTTGGCTTCTTCAGGCGCCTTCGATCTATCGCTCGAGGCGCATTCTTCGTTTGGAAAACATGATGGTGGTAGAAGCTGCTGCAGGAGGTGTGATGTACAAGTACCTTGCGGTGTGTTGCCCATCCTGTTAGATTCCCTGGTAAAACTTGCTCGAGTACGCATTGTGATAACATGGTTGCGGGTTCCAGGTCACACTGCGTATCCACTGAACGAACTTGTAGATTCACTTGCTCGCCTAGTGTCATTTAGGGATATATCGGATCGTCCAGAAGACGGTGTGCCCAAGTCTATACTATTCTCTCAGATGCATTAGGTTCCGTAGTGAGGGCCGACGCCCACCGTAGTGCGAGGGAGCTCCCAAAGCTGACCCCAGATTGCTCCTGCGGAGGTGCCCCCTCTGCGAGCTCTCTCGTCGCCCGCTGCTGGATCGACGGTTCGAGACAGTCAGCATCGAGACCCGGACAGTCCACAGGATACCACTCCATCGTCTTTCTGTCAATTCATGTTCGCAGTCGCTAACGTACTTGCACTGCGACCACGGAGACGACCTGCACGCTCTCAGGGAGTACGGGTACGACGCACGTGCCGGGATGCAGCTGGCATTGATATCCCCGGCCGCATGCTGGCCCTTGCGCATCAGTTTGCGCTCTGCCAGTAGATTTTCGTAGGCACGTTTGAGACACGGCTGAAGCACAACACTTGGCGCGAATGTTCATCCGCATTTCGTGATTACGTCAGTCGCCGCAGCACGTGGATGCTACGGGGTTGCGTTGTGGGTCAACGCGCGATTGGAGTATTTTCCTGGTTGCGCGCTAAACAGACGACATGTTTGGGCACTCTCGCATGAGTCACGGCATTTGCTTGTAGCTGTGCGGGTCACTTCGCTGCGCATCGATGTTCTTGTTTCACGCGCGCCACATGCACGTGCGACGGGAGGTCTCGACATGGCGGCAGTGTGGTGGACACGCATGCGTGATGTTGTACTTACGCGACCTAGTCAGGCCCCGCTGTTTTGTCTAGTGGACGCACGCGCCACCGTCGGGACGGTTCAGTCCAGCCACGTGGGCCCCGAAGGCGCCGAGTTGGAAAACGATATTGGACACTTGTTTTACGCTATCCTAGAGCTACGAGACAGAGTTCGGCGTCTATTTTTTTCGGGATCTTCCCACGGCACACACGGTACGTGGATGCCGTCCCGCGCGGCCCCCTAGGGCCCGAGACGCCGCATTGACTACGTGACAGTGCCTCAAGCCTCTGTCAATTCGATCAGTCGACAAGGAGTGGATCCGACAGTGGCTCTGTCTATGCGATCTGATGAGATTTCGTTGTTATGGCCGACGTGCAAGTCAGCAGCGCGGGCCCCGTGCGGGCTGCTTTCTCTCGGGCCAGAATTCCCCACGATCAGAGAAACATCTAGGACACCGCGTGCGCGGCCAAGTTTGCTACCATGGTCAGAAATGTTCCGCGGCCAGCTTTTCAATCGCACCCTGATGATCACGCGCAACATTTGAATGGCGAGCTAGGGCGGTCACCGAGTGCTTCCTAGTACAGAAGTCACCCACGGGACGTTTGCCACGTCAGACATGGGCTTCGGTTCGCTCGCTGACGTTAATGGACCATCGCTCTTCTGGACGACGAGAGCTACGCATGTTGCGACGACGACTCAACTTGCTGCTGCTTGCCGTTGCCTTTTGTGCGTGGGCCACAGATGGGAAGGAGGTGGGGGGGGGGGCGGTTGGACTACCGACAGTGCAGGCGGAGGTGGTCAGTGCGAGAGGGTCCATCTCGTGCGTTGCTTATTGATGCATGCGAGGCAGTTGCATATGTCGGGTCAGGATTTCGAGGCTGCAGTGGAGTTTGCGCAACCCCTGCAGGATGTCAGCGGTCGGTTGTATGCCCCTCCCTTCCATATCGTACATCTGGAGGCCTCGTGGAGACTGGTGTCGTGTACCAACGCCAGGGGGCCACGTGGGGCACCGGCAGCCCTATGACTGCCCCCTGGTAAGCATCCCACGCGCCGTGTCTCCATTACAGGGTATTGTTCCCAACTTCTAGTGGTGGCAGGGTCCCTTGTGGGCCTTCACATGCGTTCTCATGCGTGGTACAGCGTTTGTGATCAACAAATTTACCACGCTGGACGCAGCCAAGCACTGCAATGACATTGCGACCGGCATTCAAGATGCATGGCTCCAGAGACAGGCAGCGAAGGCTCTCGCGGCCTTGCGCCACGTCGCTGCAGGGCCCCGCCGCTAGTGCATGCTTCAAGGGCCGCCCGTCCCCAAGGATATGCATGCTCAGCCGGTCACTTCGCAGCTTCAGGCAGCCCGTCGCTGGCAGCAGCAGTTTGGCACGCTAGCGTTGGCAGCTACCTTCGAGCTTGCAGATGCGACTAGGCGTGCCTCGAGATACCCTGCCGACCCTGTCTGAGTTTCAGCACGCCTGCCGCCAGACCAAGCGCGCTGCCCCTGGCTGCGACGGTTTCACGGGGGCGATGGCGCATGCTTTTGCCACCGAGATCGCTGCCCTGCACTGCGCGCTACAACTCAGGGCCGCCGCCACCCTCATTGAGCTTATTCAATGGGAGGTTTCTGTCGTGATGTGCTGAAGTCTATCACAGCCGACCCCAGTGCCTGTGTCAGCTCTCGCTCTATGCTGGTGTTCTCACCGCTTGGTAAGGCATCGCGAATATGCTTGCGGACTAGGCTGGCGCCAGCATTACTTGCCACAGCAGGGGATGCACAGTTCGGGGGGGGGGGGGGGGGTACAGGGTCGGGGAACTGGCCATGCGTCAGTCATTTTTCGTCTTGACCAAGCTGTTGCGGCTGCGCGTGCTCTGTCTTTCGGCGCGCAATTCCTGGGTGTGGTGCTGGCGTTCCACCGTACCTTACGGGAACTACCCTTCGCTCGTCGCTCAGCGATGATGCCGTTTCTTGCATTGTCAGGGGAGCAGGGCTACCGCCGAGCGCCATGCATGATCTCGCGCGGCGCATGCGAGAGCAGACGCCTACCTGCGGGGCGGCAAGTGGTGAACGGCACATTTCACGCGCACACAGCAGCTCAGATTGCACAAGGCTACCATGCCCCCATGGTTCCTGCGCGGGGGTTCCGACCAGAAGATTTCCAGGCCACAGCTTCCGTTGCGGCTATATTGCGCGAGGTTCTCATGGGTGACAGCATGCACGCTGCGCGGACTCAATTGGGCGCTGAAGGACTCGCCCTGCATTGCCTGCAGATGAGCGCAATAGCGTGCAGATTATAGTGACGGATGCCGACACTGCTACCACCATGCCACTGTTGGACGTTACCTTTGCTGATGGCGACACCATCGTTGTGATTGTCCCTGCCTCCGGCTTGTATTTTGCCATGTGCCGTGCGCTTACCGTGGTTGTCGATGCGTTTGCTAGCAGAGGCCGCCGACTCATCCTCGGCGTTGCAAAAGCGGCCGCCCTGTTGGCTCACCGAGGAAAAGGAGCGACGAAGGCGAAGCAGCACGCGTGGCACGATAGTGGTGGGCCTGCGCTTGCGCGGACACATCAACTTGGGACTGCGCGGGCACGGGTTGTCAAGCACTATGTACATCTTGGCTCAGTTATTGATCCCCGAGGTAACATGGTGCCCGAGGTCCGATATCGAGCCAGCAGTGCCACAGCTAAGTTGCGGGCGTTGCGCACTAGAGTTTTTTCCAACAAGGCTCTTGCCAATCCGACATGATGCTCGCCGACAGTCTGGCGTTGTCGGGGCGTCTCTTCAATTCGGGCGCCCGGGCTACGCTAACAACGGCGGAGGCCAACATGGCCGACGCAGAAGTCACGAAAGTCTACCGAGCTGCGGCGAAGGTTCGCCTTGTAGAAGCCGAATCGTGCATGAGTGATGGCTAAGTGCTGGCCAGACTCAGAAAGGCTGCACGTTTGCGACCGTTGGGTTCACTATTGCACGCAGGACCCAAACTTGCAGTTGCCTTACTACGGGCCGGGTGGAACGACGCTACTCAGCACGGGTGTTGCGCCAGTCCTTGGCTGGGAATGGTCATAGATGGTTGCTCGTGGCTACGTGCTGCTGCTGTGGCTTGTGCTCCTCTCCCGCCACCGCTTGAGGATTGCAGTGACTGGGAATCCCTC